TTTTTTTACACCCCCCCCCCCAGCTAAACCTTTGCTATTCCGTCTCACGACCGACATGGTTCATTTAACAGCCTGTAACACATATCCACAGTTGTCTGTCATAATCCCCATTACAATAAATGCAACCGCACATCTGTGCACCCATGCCTCCATGCACCTGCATGCCCACTGCCATCTCCTTTAACTATTACAATTGGGCAAACGACCTCTGCATCCCTCCCACTCCAGCTCCTGCTCCCCACCCCTGACAACCCATTTCTTTTTTTCCCCAGTGCCTTCACATCTTTACAACTCCCAAATCCCTGTCTTTCTCATCATCTTCTTCGTCATCATCTTCTTCCCTCTCAGCATTGTTGGTCTCTTTGTCATCATTATTATCTTCTTCGAAGGTCTACCCCTGAACAGTCTGAACCACTCTTTCTCCCTCCATAGCTTTTCCACCATCTTTTCCTCATCTTCTCCTTCCATCTTTTTGTAGTACAACTGTAGCTCATTCACTCTCATTTTGATAGAGTCCTTGACTGGAAGGTTCATGTGCTTGTACATGATCAGGTTTCTGGTCTTCTGACGGGCATTCCTGAACCAGGAAATGAACTGGTTGATGCAGGCTTTCAGAGTCCCTTGCTGCTTGGTCAAGTGGCTGAACCACCTCTCTGGGCAGAGTCTTTATCTCTGTCACCATCTGGAGGAGTTTGCCTATTCTCCCCACAACTCCTTGGTGTACAGGCAGCTCCAGAGGAGGTGATTGATTGTTTCCTCCTTCCACCAGCACATTTGCCTAGGGCAGTCTGGTGAACTTCTCTGCCCCTCTCCGTATCTCTGCATCTGCACAAGGAGTGCCTGGTGGGCTTCCTGCCAGTTGAAGTCTCTGTGCTCATTCTGCAGGTCCTTATGGAAGATTCGTTCCCACAGTGGCCTGGCAGCTGTCCATGGGCGACAGTCTGTACCTTGCCCTTACCACCTTCTGCATCTTACAGTGGTTTGTCAGAGTTGCTGGAGCTTCATTGTGTAATTCATATCTGTTTCAGAAGTGCTCCAGGACCTTGTAGAACCATGACAGCTCCCAGGTCCACACGTGTGCTTTGAGTGGTGAGTAGACCCATCAGCATCACAGCAGGTCCCCTGCATAGTATCTCACAAAGTGGGCTGTTTTACAGTTTGCTCCAGTTTCCAGTTTGCAGATCTGGTTTGTGTATTTATCCCAAAGGAACCACCCTCAATCCCTGGTCTTTTTCTTCTTGTACAGTGTGGTCCTCACTACTTTCTCCCATATGGAGACCCAGAAGGAGACACACATGACCCTCTGGACTCTTCAGATGGTTTCTATGAAGGCATAGTTTCATAGTTTCTAGGGTTGGAAGGGACCTGAGCAGATCATCTAGTCCGACCCCCTGTCATGGCAGGAAAGAGTACTGGGGTCAAATGACCCCAGCAAAGTGTTCATCTAACCTCCTCTTAAAAACCCCCAGGGTAGGAGCCTGCACCACCTCTCTTGGAAGTTGGTTCCAGACCGTAGCCGCCCTGACCATGAAATAGCGCCTCCTGATGTCTAACCTAAACCTACCCTCTGCCA